ATAAGTGTATTGTAAAGTAGTATTCGGAAAGAATAAACCAGTTTTATTAAGAAAGGACTTGTGTCGCTAAGGTTTTGTGGGAACGAAGTTACGGAAAATCAACTAACGACTGGAAGCGTAACAATATGTATACATATTATTACTACTTACTCATAAATGCTTAAATATAACTTGTTATTGTTAAAACATAAAACAACAACTAAAACAATGCTTTCTTGTACATACGAGGTTATGAAACTAACCTGCACTTGTTTGTCATACTTGCTAAGCACATAACAAAACTACTGTAATTCAACTGGATTTTTAAGTAAGGTATATGTAGGTTAAAAAAAAATTCTGTTTGGAGCAATGACTTAGTCAACACTTCAACTTTTCAGAGGGAAACATGACTTTCCCAGTTACCAAATTTACAGTCAACTACCAGATTTGCATAGTTCAAAATGTGTTCTTTTTATTGGTTATTACCATATACTTAAGAAAAGTAGGCATTAGTAAAGAAGTGGCTACAAAAGAATGAAGAAATAGGAGGAGTTACTTTGGTAGGTTTACTAAATATATTGATATCTCACAAAAAAAAAAGGTTCTTATTTGGTATTCAAGCTTGACAATATCTGAAGTTTGAGATTCTAATTGGTCAGGTAAAATAAAAAGACATCTCTAAAATTGTTTGTCATCTTTCTTAAATATAATTTTAATTACCTTTATGTGGATGTTAAATAAAACATGATTGGTGTCTTAATAATTCAGTTTATTAACTATCATCTTTTTTTTTGTTACAGTATGACAATTTTCCTGAGTTGGAAGGCCCTTTGTACAGCAGGAACACTAAGTGAGTTTGTTTTGAATTTTGTGCAAAGCTACACGAGGGCTATCTGCACTAGCCGTCCCTAATTTAGCAGTGTAAGACTAGAGGGAAGACAGCTAGTTATCACCACCCACCGCCAACTCTTGGGCTACTCTTTTACCAACGAATAGTGGGATTGACTGTAACATTATAATGGCCGAAAGGGCGAGCAGGTTTTTTGGTGGGATGGGGATTCGAACCTGCAGATTGCGAGTCGAGCTCCTTAACCACCTGGCCCACTAAGCGAGACTGTAGTCTTTGCATTTCTAAAATGGAATATTAGTCAGAATGTTATTGAAAATTTCTTGAAATATTGTACTCGTAATATAATGTTAACTGCACAAACAAAGCTGTGAACTTCTCATGTGACACAAAAGATTGGTTATGAAAAATTAATTTTTAACATTTCCTTTAAAATTAAGAAATTAAAACAAATATATAATATAAAAATTTTAATCATAAACATTTTGATGTGAATTTTATTGCTTTATATTTTACAAATAACTGTGAAACATAGTAATATGAGTGCTTTACTTATCTGTATAGAGAAGGTTAACCACTAATATTATGCAATTCCTATATTAAACTGACATTTTATGTCAATAACACCCTCTGTGAAATGGTCAATATTTCATTTGTGTTCTAACTTGCCTATACTAATTAAATGGGTTCCAAACATTCAATTGTTATTAAGTGAATATGGTCAACTACAGTTCCTGTCTTCGTCTAGCAGAGGAGTTTTCTTTTGGTGATCATGAGAGAGAGATTGACTTTGACTTGCTCCTTGAAGTTTGTTCCTTTCTTTCTGGGCTTACTGAATGAATTCTACAGCTTCTGGAGTTGAGTCAAGACTACATCTTTTGGTTGGTGATCTGCTATGACTTCTTGAAAAGGATCCTGTTCTGGATCTAAAGATAAAAATAACAACAACACATTTTTGGGATGTTTTACAGCCATGTCATAATCCTCATCACATACTTCTACCCAGCTTATATACAGAATCACAATCCAGATCTAATTACTGAACTGAACGAAAAGATTGCTATTCATGAAAAATATGTCAATCAATCTTGAATAAATATGCAAAGGAACTTCAAGCAGCAATTTGAATCAGTGTGACCAAGTGGACAAGACTGGAAATACTACTTACGTGCTTAACTCTTTCAGCACGGCTTGGTCCCTGGAAATGACGTCATAACCATTTTGTGCTTGTTATAGTTTTCATGCTATAGCTTTTAAATTAGTTAGCAAATGTTAACACAATTTGGCAGGTTATCAGTAAACATTACAATGCTTTCATACACAAAATATCAAATATTTTTATTAAGTCTCAAGGTATGTAAAGCAATGTTTTTCTCATGCCTTTTTTTTGCATGTTCCCTATTTAACATGTAAAGTTATATTAATTTTAAGATTAAAAATACTTTTATGCATCAGAAAATT